CCTGTTAGAACGTTCTTCTACTAGATCTAATAATCCTCGATTGGTCACTGTATATCATCTATTCGGCGACTCGTGTAAGTCAATCGATATAAGTTGTGATATAAGAGCGATAAAGAATTCTTTCTTCATCCTTTCTTCTTTTTTAAATTTATCTTTTTCATTCTGCTTATTTTTCACTTTTCCATTTTTTCGAGTTCTTTCCTTTTGCAATAATTGAATATTAGAATATCGATTTAATAATTTTTAGATTTTTCTTATTCGGCTTAAATAGGTGCATACGGATGCTCTTAAATTCTTCTATACTATTAAATTTGTAATATAGTATTAAGATCTAGGTTAAATTAGATTAAGCTTCATCAATTATAGATCATCCTTGATATAAATTTTCTTATTAGGATTAAAATGCATGCGTTTTAATTATACTGGAATATCTATATAAGCACATTCCATATAAAGATATGTACTTTAGCTTAAAGCGAAAGATAAAATTCTTCATATTTTTACTACTTAATTGCTTTGTCTTCTAATTTTTTAATTAATTATTTTTCTTTTATATTCTGTTTTCCAAATAAAATTTGAGTCATTGTCCACTAATCATCATGCAAAAATTCATCGAGCTGATGCTCTACTTTCGATGATTAATTGAGGATCCGTTCTCTGATCGTTTGGATACTTGATCCGAGATCTTATACATTGAATGTCTTCAATTACATTATGCACTTAAGTCGATTGATGAAGATGGCAGTGATTCGAATTGATTTTCTTAAATTTCTTCTCACTTAATTTTTCTTTATACTAATTTTTGATTATATCATTAACATTATCTTGTTTCACTTAAAATAAAATGTACATATCTTTGATATGGATATTGTGAGTAGAATAATAATTAAAAATTTAATATTAAGCTTAGATTCATCATTGTTGCACGATGTAGGATTACTTACGAGAGATAAATTCAAAAGATTTTTATAAAAATCAATGTAAAGATTGTATCTGTAATTTGTATCCAAATTTTTCATATTTCATATTTATTTTAGTATGATAAAATGATGATTATTTTTTACGTTTTTTAATATATTTTTAATTTTTATTTTTATTTATTCAACTCTTGTTATTAATTCATTTTCCATATTCTATATTTTTTTCATTTGTTCAAAATTTTAATTAATTTTAATGTCTTGCACTTTTTTTTCTCTTAATTTATATTAATTTTAGGCGGGTCTCGATGCGTAATCACCTCCTCGTGGTGAGACCTGGTAATTGATATTGATTGATAGAATAATCTTTGAAAAATTTTTAATAATTTCTTTGAAAATTTTCCTTAGATTATTCTTTAGAAATCGATATCAAGCAAAGAATTACGCAGTACCTGCAGTCAAGGCTAGACAAAATTCTCTTTGAGTATTTTGATTATCTAGACTAGATTGCAGGTGCAATATATATATACAAAATTTGTATAAAATTTAAATATTTGGTATATACTTATGATATAATATAAAAATTCAATCTTATAATCTCTGTTAAGATTTTTAATCAATATATTAGTCAAAAAAGATGATAAAACTAATTAGAAGTCGGCATAGTTTCTTGAAGCTATGAATATATTGAACAAATATATGCAAAAGAAAAGCAAATAATAAAAGAATAAAGATAAAATGAAAAATATGGAATCAATGGCATGTCTAGAATGTCGTAGATAAAATTAATAGATAAGGATAGCAAATAAGTGAGAAAAAGACAAAGATAGAATAAGAATTGACAACCAGTTTCATCTTTTGAGTGCCAAAAACATTATTACGATAACATGATAAGATATCTTTACTAAGAATTAAACTTTAGCGTCAATATTGAAGATTCTTTACGAAAATATTCAATAGATGGCACTAAACTTTAATTCTTTCTATTCTTGTTTTCGTTATAATATTTTTGATATTTAAGAGATGGAACTGACTGTCAATTCTCATCTTATTTTTATCTATTTCCCTTTATTTGCTATTCTTATTTAGATTTCATCAGAAACATATTAGACATGATGATTCTACAATTTTTTATTTATCTTCATCATTTATTCCATTATTTGTTTTCTTTATATATATATTTGATTAATAAATTCATGCGTTCAAAAAATAATAGCAATTTCTGATTAATTTTATTGTCTTTATTGTCTAATAAATTGTTGGTTAAAAATTTTAGCATTTATCTATATTTCTATATGTATTGAATAAGTATATATATATATATATATATATATTTTTTATACATTTTTGTATATTAAAATTAGAATTAAGAAAACTGTTGAAAAATAATGCCGTAAAAAATACTAAGATAAGGAAATAAGGTAAGTAAATAAAAGGTAAGTAAAGGTAAGTATGATTTTTG